CATCACATGGGCAGGTTCCTGGAAGGCTATCAGAGTTCTGCTCTCTGTCCTTAATTGTCGTGTAGGCCACATTCAAATCCTTGATCTTTATGCAATACTGGAGAGCATCCAAGCTGCAAAACCACTCTGCCTCTAGTGTGTTGTGATCCTCCTCTGGATGCCAGGGCTGCCTGTGCCTTTGCCTCTCCTTAGAATAGAATTAGTCCAGGACATCAGTTTGAATCCAGGTGAAAATGCGAATATGGCACAGGCATGGCTGGAAAAAATTGCAAACAGTTCCAAGAAAGGCCTGTGGACTCTCAGTACAAGTTTCACAAATTTAGACTTTGCTTAAGTGCTGGTAGACAGGCAGAAAGGAACTCAGTCACTGTCAGATTATAGCAGTTATTTACAAACAGAGACAACTGATAAGGGCACTGTCTAAAGACAGGAATTTTAAAAGAATGTTATTAGAGTATCACTGTCAGTTGTTATGTCTTCATTTATGCCTCATTCAGTTTTATTTACTACAGAAATGACCATGACATCAGTATGATCAGTATTTTGCCAGTGCTGTTGCCTCGGGAATGAGTGGTACCAACACCTCTCAACTATAGGTTTTCAATATATATAAAGCATGCTATGATCCTTTATAATCATATGTTGGCCAAAAGCCTTCACAGTATGTTGGTACAGGACCCTCTGGTCCATGTAGCTCACATCAGGACTGTCACAGAAACTGCACAGGTTCTCAGGTCCAGTGAGCAGCAGTGCAGCACCACCTCCAGAGGAACATTAATTTTCATTTTGGGACTCAAAATGTCACAAGGAAACTCCCAACCAAAGACTGACATTTTATGTGTCTAGTTAGAGCCCCTAGAAGGTCCCTAAAGCTGCGTGTATCTAAGTGGCCTGTTCAGCTTTCAGCCCCCAAGGTGCTGCAAGTGGCTTGTCCAGCATTAACTGCAGTGACGTGGAAGACCAGGAGTGTGGACAATCAAGTCTTCACCATGTCTTATGGGTTCTTCATGGATTGACCATGTAGTGATGTGTTTGGACATGACATTTACACCCTTTAGAGCTGAGAGTAAGCAGTCTCCCCATATTGTCCCACCTGCTTTAGTCCTTGTCCTTCCCTCTCAGTCTGGATGTCCTAAAATGTTGAAATGTGCCATGAAGATTTGTGCTGGAAGCCTGATGACCTGCTAGCTTAGGAACCATGGCCATGCACCATTCACACCTGCCACATTAAACCTCTTCCCACCCATTCTCCAGTCAGACCAGTGATGGGTGCATTAATGTTTCTATTCTCTGCAAATAAGGTGCTGCTGGAGCACAGTTGGCCAGGAGATGACTCTGCCCTGACTATTTCTAGTCACTGCAGACACTGCAGTGTGCTGATTCATGAACTTTAATAAAAACAAGTCAGACAGCTTTTAGTACAGATTTGTGTGTTTGTTACTTTTCTTAGTATTTTCTTAGTGTTCCTACCTTCTTGTTCAGTACAGTCAGTTCTCCTTGGGAGGAAGTTTATGAAGGACTCTAATGAGGACCCACCTGGGTTGTATTAAAAACCTTGAAATTCTGCTTTGGCTGATGGATTTGAGCCTCTTCCTTTTGTTTTCTTTTTTTGATAAAAGTTTTAAAGCAGTACTTTCAGGTGCAAGGTCAGGGAGCTGCAGACTCTATTGGAAGCACTTCTTTTATTTTCCCCATAAGCACTATTACACTGCTTATGATGTGGCATTTTCCCATGTCAACGTCAAGTTAAATACCAAGGAAATTTCCCTCTGCTACCATATAATCAAAGAGCAAGGAGATACAACACAGACTGGTCATGGCTCTGTACAGAGCAATATCATTGTACATTGCAGGTTTATTTGATTTAGATCTTTCTTGAACCCTTTTTGTCTCTCTGTGTGCATAGTGTTCTACAGAGGTAGCTGTCATAGCAGGTAAGCTCTTGTTGAGATCCAAGCAGCGTGGATGTATCAGCAAGCTCAGAGCTAATTCAAAGTTTTACAGGTCTATGCATTGTACTCCACCATGCAAACAAAAAATGCCCTCTGTTGCCTGTTTTGCAGGAGCAATTAAGCTAAAATAATTAATTGGGGGGGGAGAAATCAAGCCTGAATCGAAGAAAGTCTCTGCTGGGGTTGCCATCTGATAACATAAAGAATCACTTTCTTCCTCATTAAAGCAAATTAATCTTTGTTCATACAGCTGACCTGATAAGGTTATTAAAATCATATATGATGTGTCAGTTCTGTAACTTACAGTGTAATGCTAACTTTATGCAGATCAGCCTTCTCTTAAAATTGAAATGAAATGTCTAGGTGTGTGAGGTTGTTTTTTTTTTAATTACCAGGGTACCTCAAACATTGCTAAGTATTTCTGCCACATAAAGGAATGCACTTAACTTAAAATGTTATAATTCATGAAGGTGAATGGAAATGGGTCTTAGTTTTCCCTGCAGCAAGACTGCAGGCAAGGACAGTTTCATAGACCTTCATTTTGATCCAGTGTGGCTGCTCTGAAGTTCTCATGGTCAGCCCTTCCCCTACCGTTTTGGGGGATTTTTTTTTAATTTTTCAATTAAATTTCAGATATCTTAGAATATTTTTTTAACTTGTTGAATACTATATAAAAAGTATTGGCACAGCTCTGTGATATGGGACAAATGGGGCCTGATTTGATCATTGAAGCTGGTGGAAAAGGTAAAGGCTGTGAGGTTTCCAGGAGCTACAGTTACAGAAGCATCAAATTACTTTCAGTTGCATTCAGTCAATAAGCACTCTACTCCTTCCACCACAGCCACTCAATTAACTCTACCAGGAAAATACTCTTAATGAAAATTGTGTGTTTAGCTTAATAGTGCACTGCACTGAGTTGCAGTGGGTTGCTGAGATGGCAGAGTTGTGGTGTAATATGTGCTAAAAGCTCATCTGCACACCCACAGAGGAGCTCAGAGAGACACCAGTGTGAGGGGGAACCTAAAGAATGCCCTGCCCCAGCTGTTCCCATTCCAGGAGCCATCAACCCAGAAGAGTACGGGGACACAAAGTCAGATGGGAACCTGCATTAAGGACTGAAGAGGAAGGGACACCCTGTCTGTTGGGCCTTTCCCAAGCAGCACTTTGCTGCCCCAGCCTCTCCCCTCTGGGACTGTCAGACCCAGCACAATATGTTCCATCAAAGGTAGAGTAAGCCTGGGAGAAGAGTAGAAAGATAGGTGGAGTTTAGTATTGTAATTTTTCATTTCCTTCCCTTTGTGGGTTGCACAAAACTACTGCACAGCAAGTAATCTTGTTGCTCTACTCATTTTGTAGAATCTGAAACCTTGAGATGGGGCTTGGGGTGGGGTGGGAAATTTGAGGACCAACAGGGAGAGGAACCAAAAAACCTGTATATATACCCTTGTGTGTGTGTACTAACTAGAATCTAGCACTCACCTATAAAATATTCACCAATGCACAAAGTTTATCCATCAAATGCTTGTGGAACAGTGAGTTTCAGATACAAATAGTAGTGATTATAAAAGAAAACACCTCCAAGTCTAAACATGATGTAGACACAATATATTTTAACTAATCAAGACCTTCAAAAAAGCAGTCCTTCCAAAAAGCAGTCCAAGCTTGGAATTACCTTCTTCCTGTTGAGAAGAATATGAAAAGAAAGCAAAAATATGCCCAAGGAGTAAATTAGTGTGTGTACAGAAATTCTTCTGTAGGTGACCTAGTTTTAAAGATCATTGGGAATTTATATTCATTGCCTGTAGAGAGACAGGGTGGCCAGGGAAATGCTGCTGTGATGCATCCATGGAAATAGTGTTGGACTAAATTTCCTCATTGGCATAATTACACTACATTAAAAGAACTGATGTGAAGATTGAATATGTTCCTATGTTTTCACATCTGAGCAAAAGGACCATAAAATGTTCATTTTAGTTTAACTCCCAAACAGAAGGTCTTTTGCAACATCCTAATTGCCTAATTCCTATTTTTGTTTCCTTTTCTGTGAGGTGAGATTTTTATACTCCTTTTATCAGTGGAAGTATTTTTCCTTCTCCAAGGGGAAAAACCCCCACAAACTATCATTAAATCAAATCAATCATATTTTACTAGATTTATGTTTTCTTCTTTTGTCAGTGATACACAGATACATGTAGAGACATAACTAGTAGAATATTTTATCTATTTGGAGATGAAGTTTTACCCCCTAAGGCTGTACAATTCTTCAGTGTCAGGCAGCTGATTTATATCACTTTTGTGTGTAATAGTTCTACAACCAAACCCTTTTGATTGCCAGGACATCTTATTCAGGCTCCATTTCTCTTATGTGGATTTGACTTTGGCTTTCTATACTTCAAGGTATGATGAATTGATACCTTACAGAGTATGAAACATACAGAGTACAACAATGAATATGTTTCCAAGTGGCTTTATTCCTTTCTCCTTTCAACAGAATTTACATTAACATTGCATGGTATATATTTGCAATAACGTTTTTGACCATGAAACTTAAACAGCTCTGAACTCCCAGCAAATGCATCTTCTGTACAATAGTGCTTTTGCAAAATGTCTCATTACTGTACATGGATTTTTTTTTTTTTTGGTAGCAGGATCATTTTCTTAGATCAAAGCCTGTCAGGCTCACGAGTATTTCAACAAATGGAATGATATGGATACACCACTTGAAAGTTTTCTGTGTGAGGTAGAAAAGTAAACTTGAAACAGAAATGTGTCGCTTTTCTTTACGAGAAAAGGTTCTGTCTTTGTTCTCTGTATGATCGTTGGAGTGAAACGCTATTTGTAGTGTATCTCCTCTTTCACAAGAGCCTGCAAGAGCGTTCACTGGGCTAACCTTAATCTTCAAAACGAATGCTTCTGATGGGAGGCTACTTCACAGGAAGCGTGACCTCATTCGGTCTCTGTGCCGCTGATTGCACGGGGCTGTTTTCAAAAGGAAACAGGGGACTTCATAACCTGCCTTTCCAAAGAGCCAGGGCTGATCTCTCCCAGGAAGCTGCCGAAGGAACACCCTCCACCAACCATCCCACAGGCTCTCGGGCTGATGATGAGAAACTTTTTTGCACACGTGTGTTAATTGTGAGATGGATTTTCCAGGTTTGGGAGATTTTAGACTTATTTATCTCTTAATAGATTTGTCAGCTGAGGAATAACTAAGCTTTGGAGTCATTTCTATGCTGCCTCTTCAGGAAGTTTTGCATTCTCGTGAATGTTGTTATCATTACCTGCAGGGAGAAAAGACTAAACTGCTCTTCAAAAATGACTGATATGTGTGAACAAATAAAACTCCCTTTGCAGACACTTGTGTTTGGTAGGTACAATAGAATAAAACTGGTTGCCTGGGCTTCAGCTATTTTGATAGTTAGCACTTTATTTTGGCAGGTATTAATGTAAATATTTAGACTGTAAACTGATGGCATCATTGGCTTGAACACTAATTTGATTTTTGGAGGGAAAGGTATTTAAAACTGACTGGCTTGCACTGTGACTCTTTGTTTATATCATAACATGAACTTTTGTATATTTTGAAATTCAAGGGAAGTTTTGCCTTACATTTTTATTTGAGTTCTTTACATAAAACATTGCCACATTCACCTCAGATTCACTTTTAGTGAGAGTTGATAGAGCTGTTGGTCTTTTCTCATGCCATAGTTTAAAGGTTCTGTGTTGATGGCTCATTTTTTGGGTTACAGTTACAACACTAGTGCTTCAGTGTAGAGTGGTGGTTGAGACGCTTTGTTTTGGCTTGCTGATGTCGTTACTATAGCTTCTCACGCTATTAATAGCCCAGAACTAGGACTGAATATTAAATGAAAGCAGAACACTGTGCAGCATTGTCTAAAACATGATGTTTCCATGTTTTCTCCATCAGTGATTGAATTATGATTTTCAGGAACTCTCATTATTCATGAGACAAACATTTTCATGATCAAGGGCAGTAAAAAAATCTGCTGGACTGCCTGTTCTACGGCTGTTCACAGAAGCTTGGTATTGTCATTACTTAAAATAGTTTGAAAGCAAATTGCAGCTGCTGATTAACTGTTCTTGAAAAGAGAGAAATTCAGCACCTCCCAGTAATATATTTGCATGTGTATATTGTTAACTTTCTTTTATAAATAGATGTATATACTCTATTCTGTCTTAAACTTTATTTCTGTGGAGGGTGGCAGATAAACAAGCATCCTGCAGAGACACACCTTGCGAAGTTATGAAACAATTCAAATGAGTAACAGAAGGACTGTGGTTTGTTCTGCCACTGTGATCAGCATGTGTCAACACTTTCTAATGAAAGCCCTATGAAAGCTGCTACTCTTAAAAGTTACTCTTTTTTAGCGGTTGCTACTTTATATGATCATAACGTGAAACAATCACGTGCAGTACAGCTGTGTTGTGGGTTTCAGTTGCTGGACAGTTTTGCTCAGATCATTAGAGAGTTGTAGTAGGTCTAGCTGATCATGAGATATACTTCTATATCCCTTTTCTAACCAATTTGCCCTAGAATCAATCACTTTTGCCCGAGAATACATTATAAATAATAATGTGATACATATGGATGATATTATCTTACACATCCTAATTTTCAAACAAGGCAAAATAAAACATACTTGTGTTTGTTTTAAAAGTCTCTTCCAGATAATTTATATTCCCTCTTAACCCAGGATGTATGAAACAGTCCTTTTCAAGGTGTATGGAATATCACATGTTGCACTGACACCAGGAACAAGTAAATTTGGGCACATTTATCACAAATTTTAATAAAAAAAAATCTTGTGGAGGGCATCTTGTTTGACTGATAAGATTTAGGATTTTCCTGGTTTAGTTTATATCCAGATCTACAAACTACCTGTTGAGTTCTTACCGTATTTTCTTTTAGAGTTTGGATGGATTTCTTGGTTTGAATATAATATCTTTGCACCTTTAAAAATCCTGATTTTGCTTAAAATAAGAGAAATTATTTCAGAAGGTAGTTGTATTTGAAAAAAGTAGCTCTAATATGTCAGACTATGAAATACACCACTGCTCTGACTGTCTGTACAACTTGCTCTGTGGTGTTCTGACTGATGCTACTTGATCTCTCTATACCTCCAACAAATTTCTTCCAGTTGTCTCCTCCTTTTGGAAGCGTTATAGCATAATTTTTGCATGGTAAAGTGATTTTTTTTTTTTTAAGTGTAGGAAAACAGTATGTAATGGGAGCAGGATAAAAGGACTGATTTGTAAAAAATAACCTGAAGGTTTTACTTCTTTTTTTGGTGACCCTGCCTGATCCCAAGGGTGTGACTGACAACTGAACTCCAAATGAGTATAAACAAGATACCAAAGTGGAAACACTGACCTTCATGTCTTTTCTTTGCCTCAGCTCATAACTGAACATAAAAAAAATAAAATTCTCTTAGACCTATCTCCTCTAGGAAGTGAATGATGGACACTTACTAAAATGTGTTGTAAGTCTGAAGCTCTAAAGATACAGGAGAGGCAAGGTAATATAGGGGAAGATCATATCTTTTAACTTTTCATGTAATAACAGATATAAATTCTCCCTATGGATAGCCATTGCTCATATTTCATAAGATTGATTCTGTCAGGTGCTGAACACCCAGCAGCACCTTGCAGGCTTAAGCCACAGTAATCCAGACAAATCCTATTTCCTTAGTCTCCTGCCACAGTATTACTGTCAAATATTTTTCATTGTCACAATCTCTGTGCCTGTTGTGCTATGTCTGCAATTTTCATCTGAAAATATAACGTAATGGTAACAGTGGCCTTTCCATTCTACTCTGTGTCTGTTGCCAGTACATGTACTGGTTTTGGCGTGAAACAGATCTCTGGTAAAACACCATTAAAATTACTGCAGTTATTGTATTTGTATAGCTCTTTCACCTCTTCTTTCATCTGTTTTATCTCCTTTAATCTCACTATTAATTTCCTTTTAATTTTTTAGCTTTTTTATGATCTTTTTGATATACACGAGGTACCTGCCAGTGAATGTGGTAATGACTCCTTCATATTTCCCCTTTGCCTCTGCAGGTTCAGCGGCATTTAATGGAGAGCATAGACGCAGCCTCTCACAACATATTTTTCCAAGGTACTGAGGAAAATCACACTTGCTTAATTTTATTTTGTTATAGATTTTGTAAAAATCCCTTTTGAGCCACTTAGAATTGTAGTGCCGATATTAATTTAATTGCTGCTGTAAATGGAAGTTCAGAAGTACTGCTGTGGAGATTGGAAACACTGGCTTTGCAATTACAAGGTTTTGGAGTATCTCTCTTCCATCTGCTTTTCCCTACACTGAAATTATGGTATCCCTCTGTGACGTGCCATATGGGATAGTTAAACCTGCTACTGAAACACACTGAATCAATCCAGTGTCTTCCTTTCTTTCAATGATGTCACTGCATGGCAGTTTGGAACTTGGAGGTGTTGAAGAGAAAGGACTAACCATAAATCCAATTTTACTTAAGCTAAGTAAAATGTCTATGACATTTAGAATCTTTCACCTCTGTCACTACTTACTTCTATTTTAAATACCACATACTATGTTCTTTCTTTCTGTGCTAAATTTCATCTCAGAGTCAGTCGTGTTTCAGTGGTGGATGAAGTTATCACCATGTGTAGACTTTATGTCGTGTTGTTCTAGCTGCATGGTATTCTAGGATTTGTGAGAGTTAAAAGTCACGCATCCTTAAATCCTCTCCAAGTATGGAGGTAGGTGTAGGTAGGTGTAGGTGTGGCAGGACTCCTTGGCCAAGAGCACTGCCACAGAAACACACCATGCATGTCTCAGCTCAAGCTGGCTCCATGCAGGCACGAAATGCTCCTCTGGCATGTATCCCTCCTGTAATCTGAAGCTCTGGAAAGTGTGATGCAGGCACACTTCAGCTGGCTGAAACCCCCTAGTACGAAATATCATCACATCCACATATTTTAAATCTATGTCATTACCAGCCCGCATCATCTGGGAATGTAAATTCATTGCTATTAAATCATGAGTTTGCTCTGTCTAGACCTTCACGAAATAAGAAGCTTTCATTTCTCCTTTTCAGCTGTGCTTGTGCCTTTCTGGACAATGATCCTGCCTATGAGTGTTCCACAAGCCCTCTGACAGGCTCCCTTTCCCCGTGTCGCCGCAGCCCTCGACTGCTTTCTAATGGCTATTACGTTTTAACAGAAGACAGTTTTCTGTCTGATGAAGAGGGCAACGTGACACTGTCACCATCCCACACAAGAGTTACGTATAAAGAGAATTTAATTCGGTAAGTGAACTATGTGCAGATTTTACTCCATGTTGGCAATTGCCTCCACCTCTCCGGCCTCATCCAGAGCTATCTGTGTCCCTCTACGTTCTGCTTGGATCAATGCTTGGATCAGCATTGCTTCTGAATGGGAACACCTCAACTGCTTCAGTTTAGAGAGTGCCGTGATTGAAATAACCTGATTTTCAGTCATGTCTTACTACCCAAAAACTCTCCAGTACACAGTTGTTGCTATAATTGAAGTTGTTTCCAATAAAAAAAAGGAGAGCTACAGCTCATTTTGCCAGTGGGGTGTTGCTCTGAAAAGGACTAAGAAAAAAAGTATATATATATGGTTTTTAGATGTCTACATCTAAAAAACACATGCACAAACATACATATATATATATACAAATATAAAGGTCTTGTCCTGGAATTCTTACTCAAGGAAATATCTCTGTTGATTCCAGAAGAACATCAGTTTAGCCAAGTATATAAGATGTAGTTCAAAAAAGTTGAAGTTCAATGAATCCACACTGCCCTGAGTGGGATATGGTAGGGTGAAACTCATGAGTAGCATGAGACACTCACAGCAGTATCAGAGACCAATAGCTATGATATCATTGAGTATCACAGATTCCAGAATCACAACAGCACGATCTGCCCTCCTGCCACTACATTCCCTGACAAACTGTGATGTGCAGGAGTCATTCCTAGTGACACACCCAGGGGCAAGAACAGGGCTAGGAGTAGCACCCAGAACCTGGTTCTTTTGTCATTCCTGCAGGTTTTAGAACTCAGCAAGAATAATTAGCTCTATTCCTTGATAACAAATCTTTTCCTTCCAGTGTATTCAGGCGAAGGAAGAAAATCCGTCGCTCTCTTGACAGCTTGTTCAATCTCAGTGCCTCCAGCTCATGGCTCAGCTCCACCATTCCCAGCAATATGGATTGCTCCCATGTAGATGATCCTTGGCCTGATGGATGCAGTAAATTAGAAGCCAATCACAGCGATATTGGTAAGCCCGGATCAGGTACCAGGTAACCAAACTACAATATTACAGATTTGGGTATCTGTTTTTTTAAGTTTTGCAGGGGTTGTCTACCAAGATGCGCAGATAAAGGATAGATGCTCAACAGAATTCAAAGTGAGGAATAAAGCTCCTGGCACGAAACCAGCATTATGAGTTTGTAAAGACCTTTGTTTCAAAAAGGCATTTTTAAACCGAATTTGAATCCAAAGTCATCATCAGTAATGTTTATTCTGCTGTGATTAATATCTGGCACTGTCTGCTTTCACCTGGGTCTTTCAATAACTTCATCATGTTACGCTCTATTCAGTTTTGTCTTTACTCTGCATATTTTCTCCAGCATACATTGGGCCTGCCAATTCCCTACCCATGACAATTTTGGAACCCCTCCTGTGATAAAGCAATTAACCCTCTCCCCAGTTCATTAAGACAAAGTCTCAAAGCTCTTCTTTTGTGCAATCTCAGTGATATGTGCACTTTTTGTAGGTGATTCAGACTCTTCTTATGGATATTATAACCATGTGTCACAAAGGCAAATTCCTGCATATAATGGAGCACCTCTCACCAAAGATGATGAGTTTCTTCAGTCTGAGAAACCATTTAGTGCTTCAAAACCCTTCTCACCATTTATGATAAATGCAAACAAAGAAACCTTGAGCAATGGAGGTATGTTGTGTTCTTATTCTGACATGCCTCATTTTTGAGTGAACTGAAAATACTCACATTAAAAATATGGATCTGGCCTCTTGCAGAATAGAACTTATTTCCTTAAACATATATTTTAAATTAATTACTAAAATTAACAAATTATTGAAATTGTTATTTACTTGTTTACTCCCTTCTGCTCACAGCTTTTCCTCTCCATTTTTTGTAAAAAAAAAAAAAAAAAGGAGGAAAATGGAGGAAAGGGCATGGGAACAAAAACTGAAACAGGCAATTATGCAGAAAAGCTTGTTTTCTGAGAGCATGGAGGGCATAGTGTCTCTGTGGTTGTGGGGGAAAAAGACTCCTGAGAGACACCCAGAGCATAAAAATTAGGTTTCTGCTTTGAATCACTCTAGGCAAGTTCTCTTAAAAAGGAACTGAAGAGACTGGTCTCACAGGCTGAAGGTAGTCTTTCAAAACACCTCCTGTCATACATTTACTTTCCGGAAAACCCATTAAAATTATTTTTCTGATTTTTATTTCAGAATCCAGGACAGTGCAAAATGTCATCTCTCAGATGGTTGCACTGATCATGTTTTTAATCATTTCAATATGCACAAGGTAATTTTTATTTCTTTTATTTGCTGTTTCTGACGTTAGTGCTTACTCCATTTCAAGTGGTGAAAAAAATTTAGAGTCACACGTTCAAGTTCCATTTATCTTTCTGTAAAAATATATTTTCACATGATAGTCGATGCAGGCAATTGTCTGAACTATATAGATGCATAAAACTAAGAAATGTATGCAGATATGAAAACTACCTTTCCAAGTGTGCTTGGACAGGGGTTTTGGCAGGCTGAGAAGAATCAGAATGCATCCATGTCTTTTTAAGTGCATGTTTCAGTTTGAGAAAGCTGAGGTCTTTCTTTCTTGGAGATTATCCTCAATAGTTTACATAATTTAAAAAGTTTCAAATTGCAGTTCACCTACCAGAGTTCAGAGGGTTCGTCTGCAAAAACCTTCTCTCCTCCTCCCACCCAGGCTTCACCTCTTTTAACCCAATATGTATCCTGTGGCTTTTTCTAAACTTTCTGGATAATTTTATATTTACAGATATTTTCTGGGAGGATTGCCTGCCACTTTGTTGCTGATAATTTTAGTTTGTAAGTACAGAATTTCTTTATATACAGCACAGGGGTTTTTTTACTGAAAAATAAGGGGGTTTCTACTAAAAAACAACCAAGAACCAAAATCCATCTTTGGGTGTATATCCATGGCTCTTACTGATGCCAATAAACAGCAGTATGTGGGCAAATGGGGACAGAAAGTAACCTTTAATCTACTAGAGGATTTTGCACTTGAATTTCACAGGTCTTTTGTCTCAAGATGCTGCTGTGTCATCTTTCTGCAGTCTTAACACATCTTTCAAAACCACAAAGTTTTGGTAAGTGGCTCCGGTGTCATGTGGAGAATAGGGGAATTTAGAAGTTTTATATTAAGAAGAGGAAGGAGAAATTCCTGCTGTTGTTTTCATGTCAGAAGACAAGATCTGAAGTTACTAGTGAAGTATTTGGCTTTTCCTGTTACTGATTTGTATTCACAGAAACTTTCTGTTTATTTTGAAAACTTGCCTTTTCATAATGTGCAATAAATTTTGTAGCACCTATTTGTTAGCAGAAAAGGAAGATAAACCTAATATGTCATAACATAGACAGAAACAGGCCAAGAAGAGTAACTTAAGAATCCAGAGGTATGTCATCAAGCCTTACACTGAAGTCCTTGCTCTCTCAGGCCACCAAACAGAGCCTTTTTTTTTTTTTTTAATGGGAAAAAATAAAAGCAGCTAATTATGATGCCAGCCCCATCACCACCTTCCAGGGACTACAGAATTGACATAACTTGGGACCACCAACCCAATGCACCGTTAGGTTCTGGAGAGCTTTTCCTTTGACTGATACTGCAATCTGATAAATGTCTTAGAAAGAAGAATTAAATCACCCTGATCAGCTGAATAAAAGTGCTGATGTGGCTGTTTCAGGCTGCATTATTTCTGTGTTTCAAGTGTTGCACAGAGCTGTAGCTTTTAAATCCTTCTGGAGAAAAATTTTTACATGTTTAGAGGGTCTGAATTACATCCTTAGATGAAGCACACAGGCCTTCATGCTGAAAGCACATATGGATGTGCTGGATTTATGAATTACCATTTCTTTTACTTTTTATGCATGAGAAAAGGTCTAAAATCTAAAATGCTGTTAAGACTAAAACATTTGGGCTTATCTGAACTTTTAGGGGGTGAAAGTGAAGCTCAAGAGGATCTTGTTTGTTTCTGACACTGTCAGTGTTCAGGAGTTCAGTGTATCCCAAGGGCAATACGACCATCTGACAGACCTTTTAGCCTTTGAATTGATTATTAGAAGTTGGAAGTTAGAAACAGCCAGGAGTGTTTTGGAGAGCCCTATTGCAATCACAGTCTCATTTTTTGAGCTCCCAAGGGTCTTAGCACACCACCTTGGATACTCAAGGATGTTGTTTCCAGCTTTTTTGCTATGTAATTAGTCTCTAAAACTTTGGTTTTACCAAGGTCACCATGTTAGGACCAGTGTGTTGCAAACACATTCTCCAGAGTGCTTTCTGTCTTCCTGAATATTTTAGCCCTGAGTCATAAACAAAGCTGTTCTTCACAAGGGAAAAAACATACTCTGAGAGCTTTTCAGTCACAGGTATAGAGAAAATAACCTCCTTTATGCTCATCACTAGTGAAAAGTTATCTGCTCAAACAAGTAGTCCTACAACTGAGCTAAATTTGTCAAACAGGGCCTACAACATATATTGATTATAAGAAACTGTGGTTTAAATCAAGACATTAAAAAACTTCTTCTATTTTTTCCCCCACAGAAAATAATAGGAAAGAAATAATCATTGGTGAGTATATGTTTAAGTTTAGAAAAAATCCATATTTTTAGGGATGAGCTCTATTATGAGACAGGGTTCAAGCAGGGTTCAGAAAGGTTCCATGGACTTATTATTAAAAGGTTTAGCTTCAGGACACTTGCAGTTTCCACTGCAAATTACTCCACTTTGATGTCTACAGCTCCTTTTTTACTTCATTTAGATTAAATATTTTTTTTTCAATTGTTTGACAACAGTGGCTAAATAGTGTAAACTGTTAACAATTGCTGTGCTTCAGCCCAGAGCAAACATGTTTTTCAGTAACAGGCAAAACAAGTCTTCCTTTTTCCAAGTTTGAACTGAACAGCAGGACCAGGTGCTGTGCTGCTCTGACTTGGTAGCATTCCACAGAAGCACTGAAGCAGCATCAACATGAATCAGTGCAGAATATCTGAAAAACACTTACAGATTCTTCTATTCCCTATACTTTTTCACTAAAGCCTCCTGCTCAGACTCCAGTTTCTATTTTTCAAGCTTTTCTAAGCCTTGCTGCAGCTCAAACCCTTAAAACAGGAGCACTGATTTACGAGTATTTGGAGTTGGCCATCCCAGTCCTGGCTCCATTATTTCCTTTATGTCTTTACTTTGCAAGGAAAAAAATGAAAAGAAGGAATTAAGTGGAGTTGCACCCAGGTTTATGTTCCTTATAGTGTGGATAGAACAGCCTTGTTCATCAGTTTCCTGGTTGAGTGCAGTTCAGCTTCCAAGATCTAAAGGCATCTGCACAGCTGCAGACACAACCTGGAAAACTTTGCAGTCGGCCCTCAGGAGGAGGGTGGTAATCCTGAGAACAGCATTTCAGAAAGGAGAGAAGGCATTTGATCACTTTGCAGACTTGTTAAAGCCTGTAGTTAAAATGGCATCCTATTCACAGTGTGCCAAGCTGTGGACGCTACATATGGCACTTCTTAAAGCCAGTGGAGCTGTTTGTGTAAGGGCTGCAACACCAGAGCTTGAGAGCTGACTCTGATTTTGAAAGCCAGTATCAATGTTAACCAAAGCAGGTATTACAGGATGGAGTAAAGAACTTGGCACTTGTTGCCTAGCAGGAGTAAACTCAATACAGACCGGCATAGGTTACTGCAAGACAGGACCTCCCACTGCTCAAAATAAGGTTGTCTCTTGCATTTCATGAAAACTTAAAAGCAGAGTTGTTACTTCTGTATATTTTGAAATGAGTTCACTAAAAGTTTCAATTTTTCCTCCTCCTCAAATTTATTTTCCTCAGCTCTTCAACATCAAACTCCTATATACCTCCTTATGGCCATTGTTACACATGTTCCTGGGGGAGGGGGGGAGGAGGAAACACTAACCAGAATCGTTAGTATTCTTCCTCCAAATACAATTAATTTTAGCATTATTTTTATTCTGGTCAAATGTGAGTGAGGCCATACTTTGTGACTGAAAGCAGTCATGCAAAATATTGCTGTACATATAGTCTCTCATGTCAATGAAATCCTGTGTAGACATGGGGTCCTACAAGCATTTTGACAATAAATTGATGGTAAAAAGTGTTTTCTAATCCCCATGAAATAATTTTGTTTATAAAAATTCATGTTATCACATCTTTTATCTATAGATTCTTGTAACAACATGCTGTCAAAGATAACGGATTTGGATAGTGGCTGAGTACATATAATAACGTATTTCAGAAGCTTTATTATATCATCTATATGAACTGCCTTTTGGCCTTTAAGCTGAGCATTAAGAAAAGAGGGGAAAAAAAAAGAAAAAGAGGAAAGAAATATTACTGGAAGGAGAGCACTCTTCAGAAAACCAGGAATCAGGATGTGGAAAAGCAATGATGAATCTGCATTACCTGGAATCATGTACAAAAGTGTGAGACCTGCAGGTATTTACTTTGGAAACACTGAGCCCTGTTTTTCAGCTTTTATCTTTGCTACAACAGACTAAACTACAAATAGAGCCAAAACCTGTTATCTTGTGACTCCTAATAATCTGCTTCTTGAAACACCTCCCTGTGTGCCAGTTTATCTAGAACAGCGTGGATTTCGTCTGGCCGTGCAACAAAGCAATGATAATGTGTGAAGATGCTGTTGCCCCCAAATCATTCTGTAACTCCTGTTGCTTCTGGTCACCTTGTCCCCTGGTGTGCTGAAAGCAGTGCTAGCACTGACTTGAAACGGTGCCTGTGGAAGGGCTGGGTCTGCCCACGAGGTACAATCAGGCTGGCAGGCAGAATGACAGGGGTTCGAAAACTCTGCAGCAAAACTGCACAAGCGACAGGTTCTGAAGGAAGAAAGAACTTACATAACTAAAACACCACTGTCTGTCCAACACTGTGTCTAAGCCAAGCTCAGGGAGGTTATAACTGTATTTCTTGCATGGAAAATCCAAACAAATGACGCAATGAGGAAAAGAGTACTTGAAGTTAAAATGTGCATTTCTCTTCCAAAGGGTAAATATATGCTGGTTACATTTTGAGGATAAGCATCAATAACTCAGCATTAAGAGCTTAAAGAGTGAAATTTCACCCAAATTACCAATTTTCATAACCATTCACTTTATTCTAGTCCATTAAATTGACTGCACAAAGACAGACCATTTGATATAACAACACCACGAATAAATGGTGACAATAGAATGTTCTTCATAAAACTGATGTATTATGTAACTAAAACAGTATTTATAATACTCATCTTCATATTTATGTGTAGTTAATGCAGGTGACTAATTTTGTCAGTATTAAATTATTCCTCTTCCTTATTTAAACTACAGAGACAACTGAGAGTAAACATCATTCTGTAAAATGTATAAATATTTTGTTACCTGTTTTATGACTACTTTTAGAACTAAAGAATTATAAAGATCTTTAATGTTTAAATAATCTCCTGGAATAATAATCTGGAAAATCAAATTCCATATTGAGAGAAAAGACTAAGACTGCAATTACCCTGCAGTCGTCAAAGCAATTATGCTGAAAACTAGAAAAACAGAGTTCACTGTAAACTAGTTAATTGCCTCTAAACTAGTGGAGAAAAAGCTGATTCAGAATGAAAAAAAAAGAAAAAAAAAACTGGTCTAAAACGAATTGCTACAATCTATCTATTAATAAATACAAACTGCAAATTAGAACTGTTTTGATCTGGAGAGAGGGAACTTCAAGGGCAATTTTCCAACTGGAGTTCAAGAGCTAAAAATAAAATTGCTCAAGCTCTCTTAAGACCTGCCCCCCATGATATTCATTAATGTTGAATTAAAAAAGTTCTGTTCAGTTACCAGACTGATTGGCTGTGACAGTTCCCTTCCATATATTCCAATGGACATAAAAACAAGCCTCGTCTGTTTTCTCTGAAATGAGACGCAATTATATGTTCATTGCTGTTGGATGAAAAATTGAAGCCAGGGTCTGTCTGATGAAAAAGTGAAAACAAGATTTTGCAGCCTCAGTGTTTAAATCCAGCCCTTCAGAGGCAATTAGTATTTGCAGGTTCTGTTAACTAACTGATAATTGTGAAATGTAATTCTAGCAAAGTAAAACCACTTATTGATTAACGATTAACTGACACATCTACAAACAGAGAAAACAACGAGAATTTTATGGTTTTCTCCCCATTAAACTCTTACTCCTGTTTAATATATTAACTCCCTTATTTGGAAAAAGAGAATCAAATAGAAATTCCAAGATACAGATTTATAACTCCCTGTGTATTATCTCAAACCATTTATTACTTTTTTTAAATTTATTTTTGTCATTACACCTTGTCTTACGCTTTCTTATTTCTTGCTGTGTTCAGCTGAATTTCAGGGTCATTCCTGAGTATATATCATGCAGTGCTTTATAGCAGGAACGTTCATGTTGAAGATGATAATATTGATGGCATCTCTTACCTTATGATGTTCCAAGTCTGTGAGCAGCTCTGGTTTGTAGTTATCCTGAACCATTACTCATAGAAGCCAACCCATACAAGGATAACATCTTTTATTTAAGTGATATGGAATAAACCACACTGGTACAGAATACAGATTATGACCATTTAGTCCAGTTCTGCAGAGTCTGCTCTTTGATGTATGTTTTTGTGAATTGGCTGCACTGTTTTTTAAACCTCTTTGCACATTTTAATATACCCTGAGCAAAACTGTTATTTCATTTTATATTGAGGGGGGTTTTTTAAATGGTTTCTCATGATGCTTTACTCCCCCACCTCTGGCATTTCCATAACAGTACAGTTGTTCCTGTTCTCATTTATTCCTGTATTTGAGGGTGTTGTCAGTACTGCAGATTATTATCATTAGGAATTTTATATATTTCAGTGAATTTGTTATTTGTGAGCTTATGTCCCACCCTGTAGATTGTGTGCTCTTTGGGGAAGGATTTATTGGTACTTTTGTGCAAACATAAAGCCTTGGTTTGTTATAGTTACTAAGTTACTTATCACCACAGAAAAATAAAACAAAAAGTAATAGGAAATAAATAGAAATATATAGGTTCAGATTCTGCCTGGGTATAAATCAGCTAATTTACACCAGCTGAGACTCTGAGCTGCAGCATTTCAACAGCTAAGATTCAGCCATGGATATCAATGTGCTGGGGCTGTAGCACCTTACCTGAGTATATACTGGTGGAGCCCACACGTGTTCAAAATACTTCTGATGCACTGTAATAATGCTATAAAGCTTATTTTTGTCATGGCACAGAAACATATTTTATATTGCACTGTTTTATGCATTTGACAAATCAAGTTGTAATGTAGTAAAGCCGTAAAGTGAATTTCTTCAGGAAAGGTATGCCAGATGCAACCCTTTTTCTTCCTTCTCTACTCCATTCTTCTGTTTGAAATGTAGGTCATTAAATTATCTCTGGCACGTACTTTTCTTCACGCTAATATTTCAGGCTTGTGCTAGTTAAAGCTCTTAGTACATAATTTGAGTGAAAAATAACTGTGTCAAAATAGTGAACACAAAAAATAACCAACTTCAGCCTCTGGCTTTGCCCTGTGTGTGCTAGGCCACCAGGTTAGGACCAGTGTGTTGCAAACACATCCTGCAAAGTGCTGCTTTCTGTCTTCCTGAATAATTTAACCCTGAGTCATAAACAAAACTGTTCTTCACAAGAGAAAAACAAACACACTCTGAGAGCTTTTCAGTCACTGGTGTACAGAGAATACTTCTTTTGTGCTCATCATAAGTGAGAAGTTTCCTGCTCAAACAAGTAGTCCTGTAGCTTACAGGACCAACATATATACTGATTAAAACAAACCATGGCAAAGGGTCTGGAGTGAAGTTGATCTGGAAAGAAGGGATGAATAAAAGGAGGGTGGGTTTAGAGTTGTTATCATTTCTCACTATCCTACTCTGTTTAATTGGCAGTAAAGTACATTAATTTCCCCAAGTTGAATCTGTTTTGCCCATGATGGAAATTGTTTTGTCATGTCCTGTCCTTATTTCAGTCCATAAGCTTCTCACCATATTTTCTCCCACTCTTCTGTTGAGGTTGGGAAGTGAGACAACAGCTAGTGGGCACCTGGCATCCAGACAAGGCCAACCCACCACACCTTACCATTTGGCAATTTATTTAGTTGCAAATTGTATATTTCTTTCTTCAGAACTATCATACTGAATCTCAGCAAAAGGGATGAACACCCTCCCCCTTTGTTTTCAGCATAACAAAATAACGTAGGTACTTCCACGTAATACAATGTAGACACAGCATTTAAAATACTGCACACAGCAAGAAGAAGATTTATTTTTTTTTTTAATTCTACTTATTGAAATTGATTACGTGGATTACGAAGTCTGCTCCCAGGTAAAAAATTAATAGTACTAGCAAAAGGAGTAGCTATAAAGTCCTTATTTGAAGAGGCCTGCAATTTGATATAAACCAGCAGGTAGTGGAACCAGTGGCCCTCCTTTAATCTCTGTGGCTCTGTGGAGGGGCCCTGGGACACAGCGGTGACTCCAGCCAGCTGTGTAAACATCCCTGTCCTCGGCGTGGATTTGATACTCAGCCAGTCAGACGTGCCTGGACAAATACTATGCAGTTACAATAAAGTGCATAAACTACTTCTGCTCCATTGTGTCTCATTATCCCCACAAAACTCAGTAGCCTTCATACTCCATCCACTAATCCGCAATACAGCGAGAAAGGTGCAGAGTGGCTGTGGAGAGCTGCATTTACATCAGAGGCAAATGACTTAATAAATGAATTTGATACTTTTTAAACCCCCTACAGCCTTATTTAAACTTACATGTGAATTTCCTGTTAGTAGAAGATGACCTTTAGGTTTGATCAGACCTTTCGGTTAACGAAGATCTGTGTTAGCAGAGTGCTGCCCAAGAAAGCGGTGGAGTCACCATGTCACCATCCCTAGGTGGACGTGTAGATGTGGCACTTGGGGACATGGTTTAGTGGTGACTTCTCAGTGCTTGGTTAACAGATGGACTTGGTGATCTTAGAGGTCTTTTCCAACCTGAACGGCTCTGCGATTCTAAAACTCTGTGATACTATGGATCACGGGAACAGCCAGCTTCCATCAACACGCTTTCACCCCCAAACGCGTGAGGCAACCTGGCTGACGAACACACACGGCAGGAGGAGGGCAAAAGTGTCACAGAAAGGACAGACGTGAGATTTATGCCTGAGGAAGAGGCATCTCTACTGAGCCTTCCCAGACAACGAGCGGGGGCAGGAGCGGCGGTAAAACTCTCTGTATGTTTGTGCAAAGGCCTCGGCACCTCCCTCAGCGCCGCCCGCCCGGGCCCGTTGCCGCGGCAGCGCGGCGGCGTCCGGTGATGGCGGCGGCGGCGGCGGGGCGGCCATGGTGCGGAGTGAGTGTCAAAGAGCCGCTGCCCTCCCCTCCCCGGCCCCTTCCCCCCTCCCCAGGACGTGCCCCGCTCTCTTGGACACCGCCTTCTTGTCCGCAGAAGGGGCAGCGGAGCTGGGGAAGGGTCTGGAGCACAACTCTGATGAGGAGCGGCTGAGGGAGTTGGTGGGAGAGTGTCAGTCTGGAGAAGAGGAGGCTCAGGGGGGACCTTGTCGCTCTCTATAACTTCCTGAAAGGAGGTTGTGGCCAGGTGGGGGTTGGTCTCTTCTCCCAGTAACAAGTGACAGGACAAGAGGAAATGGCCTCAAGTTAAGCCAGGGTGTAGATTAGACATTAGGGAAGATTTCTTCACAGAAAGGGCACTGGCTCCCCAGGGAAGCGATGGAATCACCATTCCTGGAGGTATTTAAAAGGCATAGATGTGACACTTAGGGACAAGGTTTAGTGGTGGATTTGATAGCACCGGGTTGGTCTCGATGATCTCAAAGGCCTTTTCCAACCTGAATGATTCCATGATTCATGTTTCCCCTTCCCTGCCATTCCCACACTCCCCTGGCTGCGCCGTCCCCTCCTGCCTCCCTTGCTCTCCTCAGGTTGGCTTGATTATCAGGTTTCCCTCCTCCCTGGCAATAACAACCCATTTTATTCTACCAGATACAGCACAGGGGTGCTCTTGTCTCCTGAAACAGCTCCTGAGAGGCCTCGCAGGTGGGGACCCCTGTGTGTGCCTGCCCCTGCAAGGGGAGATGCTGGACAGGATGGGTTATGTCTGAGCCTGGGGCTCTCAGGTGTGAAAAACCCCCAAATGGGGTTAAAATACTCCCTGCTATTATTTGTGAATTGATTAACTGTTACAGGTACAGCAGTATGGTTTAAAAGACTGAGTGCTCACACCTGCCACTCGTAAAAAAAGCTTCCCTTCCTCTGTGATTTTTCCTTTAGTCTATTTTGATTGTAGATCATCACTGAACTGCCAGTCCCGTGCACGGCTAAAACAGTGC